GATATATGGGTATGTCACATTGTTCACTGGCCTACAAAACAACCTTATGCATATGATCTTATGGCAGAATTAGGATCACTACGTCCCCCATGTATACATGGGTTTCGCTCATGGATTGCTAAAGTTGATGGAATTTACTATGAGCATAATAAAATTAAACCAGGGTACCGCCTACTTGGATGGAAAAAAGTGGGTACTAATACTCTAGAAAACTAATGTAAGAGTTGCATATCAATGTTTTTTTTTTTAAACTTATTTTATTAAACTAATTAGTATTCAAGAATAAAGTGGGTACTAATACTCCAGAAAACTAATGTAAGAGTTGCATATCAATTATGTTCTTTTTATTTTATTTTATTTTATTAAACTAATTAGTATTCAAGAATAAAGTTGTTTGCTTTGTAAAGTAATTTATCATTGCATGCTGTTACGAAAAAGGTTTTAACTTCAATAAAATACTGCAAGTATACAATAACAATTGCGATAGTATTTAGGAATCGAATCCACATGGATCAAGTGAATACACGGTGAACTGTATTGATTTAAATATGGCTAGGATGCAAAAGAGTTTTCTGAAACTCAGTGTTCAATTGATAAATAAAATCATTTAATAAAAATATCGGGAAAAATGAATCAAGAGGGTTCATGACAATAAAAAGATAATTAAACAAGATTCTATTAGAAGTTGTTCTTGAACTCAAAAACACGAATATAAAATTATCATATTCTCATACGAAATAACTATATATGAAATGACACTTCTAGCAACTAAACTGTCGTTTGTCAATAGTAGTCTAAGCAAGTATTATGTGTAAGTTTGATATGTTCACAAAAAACCTTCACATCAACTGTTGGTTGGCCGATGATTCCTCCAACCCGACATCTTACCAGACTGCATCGGTTTCTCGACCGAGGATTCCGCCTCAATATCCACCATCTTTACAACAACGACTTCTTCGTAAGCCACATCAAGCATCTCAAACTCCGCCATTGTACCAGAATCCTCATCCACAACTGCCGCCTCTTCCAATTCTGGAGTACCAACAGCCTCTTCCACTGGAGCATCAACCGCCTCCTCCACCTAATCTGGAGCATCAACCGCCTCCTCCGCCTAAACAGGAGCATCAAGACTATCAACAATTGTTGGATAATTTCTCCAAATTTACATATAATCATCCATTTTCGGGCAAATGTTAAAATTAGAAGAAGAAATTTGCTGGAAACAAAATAACAACCCTAAATGATCTTAAAGTTGAAATGGTGATTGCTGACTCTCACACCCTTAATCGGCTCCAGATTCACTTCTTCATCTTAACTTCTTGGTTTTTGTTCCAAAACGTTCCATTATCTCCAAATGCATCCCGATCATAGAAATACTTGAAAATACTCAAAATGGACTCTAGAAATAAGAAAGAGAGACTCTAAAAACCATACTTTTATCATGGCTAAAAACCATGATATATCAATTGTGAAAAACTTTCTTCTCCAACTTTATTCAATTATCTGTCGGCGCGTGGAAAATTCATAAAAAAAAAAAAACTATTTGTCAAAGCCCAAACAAGTCTATGGATGAGGCCATTTAGGCCTTTTACCGTTTGTTAGCGGTGTGGATAGACCTCTAGGGGCCAAGCGGGATACATCCTGACCTGCAAATGGAAAAGGAAGTTCGACGTCAATGAGGCGTTCTAAACAAACTATGTAATTAAGCCCATCTATGTTGCCGGAGCAGCCAACCACTCGAACCTGCAGCTTCTACCATTTTTGAGTATTTTGGAATACAAAAATCATGAGGACCGGTTTCAATCACCATGTCCATTAGCCATCCCATTGAGTGCTATATATCTAGCCAAAAAAAGAGCATGTTCTCCATCACCAATTTGAAATTGCAAAAATGTTGCCGCCAAGTCTCGAAATTTAAGAATTTTGCCGCCACACGACGAGCCCACATTGTCCCTCATATCCCAAAATGAGTGAGTACATATGAGATAGCAACGGATCCAAACAACCCTCAAATATTTTGTCGAAGAGAATAACTGCCATATTAGTTTAAAGGCATAAACTTTCGAGGAATCACGCAATTGGCGAATCCCTAAGAAATCAAAAGTTATCCACAAAGTTAACTAAGACTCTATCTTGCCGTTGGACAGCTTCTATCTTTCTCCATGTTGTCTCATCAAGGCGAATTTTCAATATCGTTTTATTACTTCATTGACTCCGAAAACTTAATTGTTTTTGTTGATGTCGAAGGACTAATTGTTTCTTTGCTTCCATGTTTTTTATCCTTTTGCCATGGAACCAATTTATAGGATTTGCTTCATTATAACTCCTAATTTTTTTATTTTCAATGAAATATTTACACTCTTAACAGAAAAAAAAAGATAATTAAAATATTAATCGGAAAAACTGAACTGAAACCTGAACATTTTACACAAGAAATCAAAATACTAGAACATAAATCTAACCAATGTTTTTTAGGTAATCAAATTACATCAATTATATATAAAAGTTCTTAACGTTATCAAAATTAATTACTAAAAGTTTCTTAAACCAAAAGTTTAATAATCCAAAATTATTCATAATTTTCTGAAATACCCAAACAAAAATCAGATCTTTATCCGTTCAGTTCATGTAGTGATTTTATATAATCGAAATATACATATGCACAATACACTATATGGTCCATTATTTAAAATATATTTCAGATTTATACCTGCTATTATCCATTATAACATCATAATATCAAAAAAAATTAAAGAATTTATTATCTCACACAGTGTTTTAAAAAGTGGTATAGATGGTTAGTTACCTAAAGCATGTGGCTAGGCCTTTAGATGATACCTAGACGACACCTTCGACCGCTTAAAATTGCATAGGCTTCGTTATATTGTATTTTTCACCTTCACCAATTCCTTAATATCTGTTATTATTTAGACCCATTGTCAAATCAGTATATGTCTTATTGTGTTTTCTGAAAGATTAATCAATCATCTTTCCAGCTCTTGTTGTTAAACATAATTTAGACAATACTCCATCTGTTTCATAATAAGTGTCATTTTGACACTTTTCACACAAATTAAGAAAACATATTAAAAAATTTCTTATACCCTTTAAATTTAAATTGACTTTTGGTATAACTTGAGGTTAAATTCAAAATTTTATACCAAGTATTACATTGAAAATCTAAAACGACACTTATTTTGAAACGCAAAAATAATCCTAAAACGATACTTTTTCGAAACAGAGGGAGTACAATATATACTATTAACCGATAATTTGGTAAGTTTTACCGGAAATAAACAAAAACAAAAGTATTTTTTGGGGGAGTTTATTCTCGTTATTATGAAGTTACTATTTTATTTGATTTTATTTTATTTTGATAAATATTTTTAACAAGTTGTTATATGGAAGATTTACTTTTTTATTTGTTACTGGTTGAGCATCTAAAAGCACCTCCATTTGAGTTTTTTATTAAGATACTTTCTCATTAAAATAAGAGAATGTAAAGAAATTAAAAGCATGAGAGAGAACGAGACAAAGGTTTTTACTTACGAACTTTGAGTATAGTAATTAGAATTTTCAATTACACTTGTATCTTTTTAATTAGTTCTTTTTTTACTTTCAGCTTAAAAAATAAAACTGTGCTAGAATATTAATATTTTAAAATTAAGATACTTCTTCTAGGTATGTTAACCATTGGAGATGTTGTAAACGTAACGTGTGTAATCTATTTTCTAGGTGCATTGACTATAAAATAAGTTTGGGAAATCAATACAACAAGGCACGTGTAACTAAAATATGGTGAGTTAATGATAAAAGACTTTTATTTGCACTACAATATTATAGTTAAACAGTAGTGCATTTTTAGCTTGTAAAATGGATAATATGAAAATTGAAAAATTAAGTATCTAACTATAATTCATCTTTTATTAGTTCTTTCTCTTAGCTGCTGTAAATTACATAAACTATCTCTACGGGTATAACAAATTTCTTAGCGAGATAATAAAATAGATATGGATAAATTATAAATTGTTGCGTCTGTTTCAACATCATTTCCGGCAGTTTTTTCTATGTTTATATCTGGTAGCAATGATAATATTTACCGATTTTTATGGTGAGGATGATATTATCGGCGGTGGTATAAGATAATATATAAGTTAGCTCATACCAGTCTTATAATAAACGTTTTACACGAAAAATATGATTTTACCATATAAATTATAAATATGCCGCGATACAATCTGATTTATATTGTTAATCAAATAAATAACATGATGAATAGTATTCTCGACGTCAAATAAACAATGCTTACTTTGCTGCTAAATCTAAATTCGTTGTCTCGTTATTTTGTTTATTAGCGCGCGCAAAGAATATTTTAGCATTTTTTGAGTCAAAAGAGAGAGAAACTAAACAAAAAGAAAAGAAAGGTCATATTCTTAATTTTAATCTTCTGGGGTTTTACATTTATATAACCCTTGTAAAATTTTCAAAACGCTAACTTGTGGACAAGCTAAACGATGACGTGTGTCGTTAGGTACTAGTAAGAAAACATTTATCATGCAAGTTTGAGGATGCATATTTCCATAGTATTCTTGTGGTATGTCTCGAGAGGTTTTGGCCTTTTTCAACGTTCTTTAAATGTCGATAGAAAATTCGAACACAACCTCATGGCATGATCTCACGAAAAACCCACAAGCAGAAGAATTATAAAGAGTGGAAACAAAGAGAGAAAAATAAGAAGAAAACACTTAGCATAAAGAAAACGAACAAAAAACCACTAAAAAGAAGAGCAAATGACGTGTCTACTCTGGATTCATTTCTTTCTTATACTTCTATTGAAAAATAGTTCAGCAGAATTCACCATTTTAAGTTCCTGTAAAAGCTTTTGTGGAAACGTCTCGATTCCATATCCGTTTGGAATAGGAAATGGTTGCTACCTCAATCATTGGTACGAAATAAACTGTACTGAAATTTCCTCCCGTAAATTCATTCCATTTCTGCTTAAGATCAACAAAGAAGTAGTCCAAATCGATCTTCCGAGCCCAATAAAACCCGAGGAAGATTCCAGTCTATATGGATCACTCCGAATCAAAACCAACATAGCTTCGATGGGGTGTTCTGGCGGCCACGGACAAAACTTGGAAGAGATTTTGAACTTCACCGGAACACCGTTTACCATCAGCGACAAAAACAGCCTCATGGCTTTTGGGTGCAACAGCAAGGCCACTCTGACGAATATTAACCCCAGACTTCTTGGATGCATCACCACTTGTCATCAAAACTTCGAGACATACTTTCCAAGCTGCGAAGGCTACACATGTTGCAGTGCAAGAATACCTATAGACGACGGTCATGTAATAATAGGTGTGAAAATAGAGAGTATCGATGGTAACAAAACAAGAGAAGGGTGCAGTGTCGCGTTCTTAACTGACGAATATAACCAATCCTCACTGTGGCGCAACAGAACTGATTCCAAAAGGCTTCACGCTCTGGAATATGCTACAATCCAGCTGAACTGGGAAGCTATTACAGAGAATCCTTCGTCACGAGGTTTGTGATAATAGCTACCAAATTTGTCTCAATACTCCGGGTACATATCAATGCGTGACCAAGAAAAGTAAGAAGACATTCGTAATTTATATAGGTAAATCTGCTTTCTCTGTTAAATTATAAACCCTCAAAACAAATCACATTCCATTTCTTACATTTGAAAACTATTTCTTTGATATATCTTAATCTTTTTCTTGAGAAACTAGCCCCTTTTTACTTTATACTAGGGGAGGTATTATAAATTTTTTAGTATCCAGTAATTGTGGAAAGGTTTTAAACAACTTTAATGCTTGACTATTTTTGTTAAGTTAATAATATATACATTTCTTTTTAGTTAATAAATACCTTGACTATTTTGATAATAAAATAGCTTATTAATGCTTGACTATTTTGATAACCAGAAAATAAAAGGGAAGCTCATACACTTTACAGTAGATTAAACTTAAATTTAAAAAATAAATTGTAAATTAAGTGTTATTTTATGAAAAATAAAATGTAAGATTTCAGCACATTATGATATGATACTACGAAATGAAATTTCAAATGTAAAAATATAATTACAAATTACAATATGACACTATGTATTCGTTTAAAAGGGTAAAAAATGCCTTAATTAATTATATAATAAATTACTTAATCACTGTAAAATACTCTGATTTTATTAAAATAAATTCGTACACTGTTTATTGAGTGTATAATAAGTTTGATGGTAAATGCGCATGAATGAGTTTTAATGATGCTGTTGGCATTCAAATATATTCGTAAAAAAACTTTTTAAAAAATGTTTAAAGTATTAAGCATTTTATTAATTAGAAAGTTTTATCTATAATCGAATTTTTTTATAAATATAATTATATTGTTGCAGGGGATAATTTTTTTAGAAATTAGCTTTTGGTTATTTTATTCTATCTTTGGCTAATACAGTATATTGTTAAATTTTACCTTGACTTTGTTAACTTCATTTATTACAAAAAAAAAATGTCTGTGACTGTTGACGATGTGGGATAATTAGTTTGTTTAACTTCGTGTAGTTGATATAAATACAAATATGTTTTAGAAACTAGGATTTGACCCGCGGTACACCGCGGGGTTATTTTTTTTATATAAACTAATGAATCCTATACTATTATTTGGGGAGTACACTTTATAAGATACCCTAAACTAACCCTCTCTTTTGTAAAAATTTACTTAAGAATGTCATTAGAAATAAAATTTTATAGAGTAAATTAATTCAACTCATTAAGGATAAACAAGTCAAATACTATTTTATGCAATTTAATTAATTTAATTTAATTATAAAAACGAAAATCTATTATTAATTTCTTTAAAAAGAATGACCAATCAAAATGAACATATAAGATTTGATATCTAACTTATCATATTAATTTGTTATTAATTATTATATTTCACCTCTCATCTTTATATGATTATATTTCTATAAATAAATAAATCATTATATCATCTATATAATAAAAAAAAAAGTAAATTTTTTTCCGCATATACCAAGATTTGAATTTTTATAAACGAATATAAATTATTCAATGTATGAAAGAACAAATTTAACGGGTCAAAAATTCATATTTGAGTAATATATTCCTTTTTTTTAAATATCATCAATACTTAATAGATCAAAAATTTATGAAGTATAAATACTCTAATTTGATTTTTTGAAACAAATATTTATAATAGGCGGCGGGTTAAATATAATATATTATATGATGAAATGAGTTATGATCCTTATAACTATTTGAATATTATATTTAATTTCATATCATTTTTTTAATTCATAATTTTACATACTACAATAAAAAAATTTAAAGATTTTAATTTGGAACATTTTAAAAAAGTTTAATTTAATATATTAAAGAATATCATAAATATTTAATAGATTAAAAAGATAAAAAAATTATAAATACATTAATTTGATTTTCTAAAAAGATATGTTTAAAATATTTATAGTAGGCGGCGGGTTAAATATAATGTATTATATGGTAGAAAGTTATGATCCTTATAACAGACGGCATTTTAAGATTTTATGATGAGATGGGTTAAATAAGGTTTGACACTTCTAAATATTTGAAAATTTGATTCTGCCGCAATTTTGAAAATAATAAATAATAGATTGTGCCGCAATATTTTCATAGGGATTGTAAAATGAAAATATAGACTCTACACACGGATTGAATTTGGTATTATTATATACCAAATATATGTTCATAACATAATTGATTATGTGAATAATTGGTAAATTCCATAATTAGCTCAAACAAATCTCTATTTCAACAACCAATGAATCAGAATTTGAAAAAATAATTTCCTAAATTAATTCAAAATAATAGCTAATTTTCTTAAGTAATTCAAAATAATCTACGTTTTAGATGCAATTCATTTATGATATTTTGATTTTTGATCTAACTAAATTATATGCACTCTCATTTTGTGGTTGTTAACATAAATTAACTCATTGTTCAAACAATATTAATTTTTTAAAAAAATAATCTTATTTTCCGTTTTCATATCTTAAAAAAATATACATAATTGAATACTATAGAAAAAGAAAAATATATTCATTCTAATATTATATATAGGGATTGACAAAAAAATATTATTTTTTCACTTACTATTGTAATATATCATAACTTTATTCTAAAACATAAAATTTATAAATTTTGTAATAAATGAAATTCAACCCGTACTACAGTACGGGTGATGATCTAGTATGTTGTGTATAATACATTTTGTAGTACAACGCGGGTCGATTTTTTGTAACTAATTTTTTAAATTATAAGTTGTATTATTTCATGTGTTTAGTGTTTAAAACTGTATAATTGTATTCTGATTGTTAATTATACATTTTCACCCGTAGTATACCATCCCGTAGAAAATATTGACCTAAACCCGTCCCACCATATAACCCAGTCCCGTGAAATTAAACATTGATCTTGTGTTATTAATATTTTTCAAAACAAAAAAAAAATAGGAAAAAACTAAAAAAAATTCATCGTCTTTTACCTTTGAAAAATAATAATTTAAAAGTAAATACTTTCAAAGTAAATTTAAAACTAAATTTTGTTATTTTTATTTTTAATAGTATTTTTATTAATAATTATTATTTCGCGTTGAAATATTGTAATTGTTTTATCAATATGAATAATTATAATCATATTCAACTATTTAATATTTTAAAAATATAGTTTTTGATGTTATTATTTTTTTTGTATTTGTTTTGGTAATTTTTTGTTTATCTGTTATCGCACCTACTGCCAACCCGTCATCACATTCCCGCAACGCATCCATTTTTAACTGCTGAATCAATCGTACAAAATGTTAAGTATCGCTTAAACCGCAACCACCCGTTTCTGTAACTATCCATTTCCGCAACTGCCCGTTTTCACAAATTCTTTTAACTGCAACTGTTTTCACTCGTCTAAACCAATTAGGCCTAAAATATGGTGATATTAAAATTATAAAATATAATGTGGGTTTAAATTATTAATTGACAACAACACTATTCCTTCATGTTTTATTATCTTATCTGAAGATAAATATTTTTTATTTATTTGAAAAAGGAAAAATAGGTAACTAAGTTAACCTTTGATCTCTCGAAAGAAAAAGGGAAATATGCCCAAAATGTAAATGTCAACTTTTTAATTGAAAAAGGTTTCCAATTAAAATGCATGAGAAATTAGAAAAATAATTGCATTTAAAAAAAAAATTTACCCAGCCCAAGTCATTGTTTTGTTGGGTCAAGCACATATTTGACCAAAAAACCCATAAGCGAAAAAAAGAGAAAGAATAGAAATTCATAATTAAGTAGAAACACATCTCAACCAATATTTACACAAATTTTTTGTTCTTTTCGAGGTGAAGCGACGAAGCATTTTCATGATTGACGGAGGATGACGCATCTCAGACCGTGAAGCCAATCTTCGATTAGTGAAGAAGGTGAAACAATTATGATGTCAATTTGGTGGAGCAATCAAGAACCAACTTTGAATCATCTGGGAAGCAAAATTAGGATTCGAGTATCTATAGGTAGAGATTCTACTCCTAATTTAAATATCAAAAAGGTTCAAATGAAAATTGCTCTATCTTCTGCGATTAAATCTCAATTGGATAAAAACAACCCATTAATCTATCAATTGAAGACAGAAATTCCATGCATCTGCCATTGATGTTATTTCTTGGAAAATTCGATTTCTTTTCAATTTTGTTCATGGATTCTTAAGGTAATTGATTAGAAATTTTAGATCTTATGGTTAATGATAGTACGTCTTCTGATTCATAAATTTACAATTATATTGCAAACAATTAGATCTCATAAAATAATTTGTAATGTTGTTACAGTTACAATTTTGCACAACGTCTAATTAAAAAGATGGAGCCACTCAAAGGGCTGGTAGAAAAGTTGCTTGCTTCATGCTAGTGCTACGACTCAATGCTCTCTTTCAGTCAATTAGTCCATGCGGAATCAGGTAACTTGTTCTCCATAAAATTCATATGGATTTATCCATATATATATAATGATCTCGTTACACAAAATGTTAGAAAAACACAAAACATAGTAACAACTAAAAATTGACAAATTGAGTGAAAGTACTTTGGCCGATAATGATCAAATTTTTGTATTATAGAAGTGGAAGAATAAACCAAAAAAAAGCTAATCGTACCTCTCTTAGAGAATGAATTAACAATATGGCTCTTATGTTAAGACTCTTAGCTAGTAAACTATTGAGTGAAATTTTGTACATACCAGAAATCCATCAAAACATATATATTAGTTTGATAGATCTGCAATGCCACAAATGTCCTGAAAACAATAAAAATAACACGTTAATCTACATGATAATTGATCAAATTTTCATTACAAACACAAAATCGTTTTTAAATGATATCTCTATTCATAACAAAATAAGAGAAGCTCCTTCACGTGTACACGCCAATCTGTTTTTTAAGGCATGATGTCCCTCAAGCAAGCAAAGGATTTGGCCGCTGGTGTCTTGGTTTACACCTTTGGAGCCTACAATTTAAAATTAAGAGACAAATTGTATTAGTTTAATTGGAGATATGAATAAGTCAAACCTCAGTCTAGATGCTTACATTGTTTTGAATTCTTTTACCTCTGGAATGTTAGGATTTTCATCCTACTGGAAATCTTTAAACGTGATAAGAGTAAAAGAGTTTACCAATGGATGAAGCTTGCAACTGAAAGAATTATCTTTGCTCCCTAAGACATACAACATATCAAGTTAGCTAATAAGAAAAAGGTTTAGAATCAAATTTATGTTCATGGAAACTTACTTTCTGTAAGTATCATAGAAAAAGTCTCCCTTTATTTTACAGTATATTGTCCATGGATGGACGATCTTAAACTTGGACGCACCATGCAGCTTTGTTAGGTCTCAAATCGTTGAGATTGGAAAATGAAGCAGACTTCTCTTATCATGTTAAAAGGTAAAATCTCTGATGATGTGATAATTCTTTGCTAGCGAGAACCTATTTATAGAGGTCATAGTCTCTTGGCGTTAGGTTGGATAAAATTTCAAGAATAGCTTTGTGATCAAGCCAGATTTGCTAGATATTATTTACCAACACATAATAAGTCATCCGAAATAAATGCCAAGATATCTTCGAGATATATAAGAATTGAATATAGCATGTTTCAAGAATATGCTTTATTTTAGTTCCCAAGATCTCCGAAAATTGATAGAACTAATTATTGTTCAGTTTTTTTAGGAAACAAATGTTAAATACAATAAAATCTCTAGCATGAAAATAGGAAACTATTTGCTTTGTAAATATATGTTTGTTATGTAAATATATATGATTTATATATTTACTAAATCAATCATTTAATTTCGATTTATATAATGCTAATTTAGATTTGATTTCGATTTTATTGTTTAAGTTGTTTCCATTTGCTAGATATTCTCGATATTAAGTTTAATAGCATTTATTTAAGAGTTTTAATTTCGAATATTTGACTTCCATATGTTAGGATTTTCAAATCTCGTTTTTAAAAAAATAGGAATTGTTAGAAGAGTTTATTAATTGATTTGTAAATTTCATTAAGACAAATATTTTGTTAGATTTTATTTGTAAGGACTAAATGTACAATATTGAAATTGTAAAAGGATTTTTGAGGCCAAATCTTCACCAAAAATGTATATATAGATTAGGTTTTTAGGGTATTTGTTTTTCTGGTTATATATTCTCCAAAAAAATTCTTAAATTAGTTAATTTCATAAAATTAATAAATGGGTAATACAACTGATGATGTGGTATTGAATTAGTTCATTTGTTTATGCTATAATTAGATTTATTTTTTTGAATAAAATAAAAATAAATGTTTTTTTGGTAACATGTTCTTCAAATTTTATCTAGAACTAATAAACTTTATTAATCACTAAATTTTATTTGGTTCATAAACCTTGTAGGGGTCAGCATCGGTTTGAGCGTGTTAATGGTGGGCGTTGGAATATGGCTATACATATTTATTAAGAAGTATAGAAAGACCAAGCGCAGAGAAAAGTTCTTTAAGCTAAATGGAGGTCTTTTGTTACAGCAACAATTGGACTCAAGAGAAGGCTACGTAGAGAAAGCAGTAGTATTCACCTCTAAAGAATTGGAGAAAGCTACAGAGAGCTTCAGTGTAAACAGAGTGCTTGGTCATGGTGGGCAAGGAACAGTGTTCAAAGGAATGCTTGCTGATGGTAGGATCGTAGCGGTAAAAAAATCAAAGCTTGTGGATCAAGATAAGGTCGAAGAGTTCATAAATGAAGTTTCCATACTCTCTCTGATCAATCACCGCAACATCGTGAATATACTCGGATGTTGTCTAGAAACGGAGGTACCCCTACTTGTTTATGAATATATCCCAAATGGCAATCTTTTCCAACTTCTTCATGAAGAGGATGATCACACGTTAATTACGTGGGAGTTACGTCTGCGTATTGCCATAGATACAGCGGGAGCTTTGTCATACCGATTTATCATAGAGATGTCAAATCATCAAACATCTTGTTAGATGAGAATTACCGAGCTAAGGTTTCGGATTTCGGAACCTCACGGTCGATACGCGTTGATCAAACTCACCTGACAACCGCGGTTATAGGTACTACAGGATATGTTGATCCTGAGTACTTTCAATCCTGCCAGTTTACAGAAAAGAGTGATGTGCACATACTTTGCTTATATTGTTGTTCTATAATTATGATGACTATACTTAATTAATGTTTGGAACTTTATTTCTACATAATTTTTTTATCTATCATTTTCAGATTCAGGAAACTGAAAAAGGTCTACTTTTCAAATTATTTAATTTGGCCGACCAAATTTCCTTGACTAATTCCATCTGAATTAACAATTATATACAGAAAATCCAGATGTAAAGTAAGCAGAATAGTATTTTATCAAAAAAAAAAAAACTTTCTACTTATCTTTAAGATATTTTTTACTCTTTATGTTTTTTAGATATTTTGTTTCTAGCGGTGACAAAATCAGATTAGATTATTATAGTGAAGAATCATGTACTAAACTTATTTATTTTCAAACAAAAAAAAATAGAAAAACAAATTCCATATAAACCAAATATTTTCCACGAATTTGTTTTTGTGATATTTGAAAAAATACACTAAATATTTTTATTTATTTTAATATTTAAAATTTGAACCATATAGTTAAATTATAATTAATATGAAACGTACCATAACTTAATTAAGAATATTTCTTTTTTTCTTTTCTTTCGTCTTATAAAGAATATTTTACAGAATTGGGAATTGAGGACTTCTTAGATTAATAATTTTTAAGAAAAGAATCTTAGTTGTAATAACGAACGTCATTAAATATTATAAAATTGATATACAGTTTAATTTTTTAAAGAAAAAGTCATTTAAATCGAAAATCAACCTAAAATTAAGTATTTTAATCAATATGTCCAGAGTTCAAGCTTTAAATCAATGGAAATGGACAACTAATGATAAATCACTAATTTTCGTTGATAAAACCAATTAAAATATATCATTTACTAGGTAAGTAAATAGAGCAATCAGACAATGTTATGTGTCCGTTAAAGAAGTCCGTTAATTAGCTAAACGACGTTGTTTTCATCTAAAGAAATCTCCCAAATCAATTACGAACTCTAAAAGTCGAGAAAGCTAATTAACCATGTGGAGGGTTTTCTTTTTATTGAAAACGACGTCGTTTAGCTAATTACTCCGTTAAACCAGTTAATGAATTGTTTCAATTGGCTTTGTTAACAAAATTAATGATTTAATTAAAAATTAACTAAAAAAAAAATTAATTACCAAAATGGCAAATACAGGAGTTTATGATTTAAATAAAGAAAAATGGATAACTGATAATTTAAATAATATTTTTTCCAATTTTTAAATATTGAAATGGGTATAAACAAGAGGACAAAGCCAGAGCGACTCTGCTTTTAAGACACGGCAAAAAAGTCAACCAACGAAACCCAATAACAAGGAAAGAGATTTGTTTTTCATTTTTAATAGAAAAAACCAAAACAGCAAAAATTGAAGTCTACTCGTCGTAGTCGTCGTCGTCTTCCACTAATTCCGTGGTTTTTATCGAAGACTTTTGAATAAAGTACATTTGCAGAGTCTGTCAATAACCCTTTCGTCACGGTATTGCTCTCAAGCCGCGTACTGGTAGACTCCAAAATTATCCTTTCTTTATGGTTTTTGGAATCTGGGTTCTCCGATTTTGAGGTAATCCTTGTGTGGGTTCTTTCTGATTTCGTGTTTTGTTTTATACAAACGACTTTTTTTGTTTCTTGGGGGTTTTTTTTATTTATGAAAAAAGTTTCAAGGTGTTTTGTTGTTTGCAGGATCTTGAAATCTTGAAAGAGAAGAGGTTTTGGTTTTTTAAATCAGACATCTATCCTCTCATGGCGAAGTTATGTTGCTTCGGTTCTTCAGACTACGATGTATGTAATCTCAAATCTTGTTTTTTTCTCTTTATCTTGGTTTTATGATAACGACTTATGATAGTATTGACTTGTTAAATTGATTCTTCTTGTGTTTGATGGTTAAAGCTAAGTTTTAGATAGAAATCGAACTAAATTTGTTGGTCATTGTGTAAGGACATTAAGTGGTTAAGATGCTACTTGTTGAGTTTAAGAGAGGTCTTAAACATTTTGTGTCTACTTCTGTGTGATGGAGTTGGTGGATGTTCTTGAACAACAATTTGAGATATGAATTTGTATTTGTTTGTTGGTGTAGCTTGTGGTTGGGAGGGCGTCAACTAGTTCTGGAAAAGGGAAAAATAGCGACGGCGAGATCAAATTCGGTTACAGCTTAGTGAAAGGGAAAGCTAATCATCCAATGGAGGATTATCATGTGTCTAAATTCGTGAAAATAGACGGTAGCGAGCTCGGTTTGTTTGCAATCTACGATGGTCATTTGGGTGAACGTGTTCCTGCTTATCTACAGAAGCATTTGTTCTCCAATATCCTTAAAGAGGTGTGTAGAAATTTTCACTACTATATAGGCTCTTCACTGCATCTACTGGCTCGTGTGTGTTCCTATTTTTAATAATTTTTGTATGATTTAAAACGGTGTGTGTGCTCAGGAGCAATTTAGGTATGATCCTCACAGATCAATAATTGCTGCCTATGAGAAGACAGACCAAGCCATTCTGTCACATTCTTCTGACTTAGGCCGTGGTGGTTCGACTGCTGTAACCGCTATTCTGATGAATGGACGGCGTTTGTGGGTGGCAAATGTGGGTGATTCCCGGGCGGTTTTATCTCAAGGAGGTCAGGCTATACAGATGACTGTCGATCATGAGCCGCACACTGAAAGGTTGAGCATCGAGGATAGAGGAGGCTTTGTATCGAACATGCCAGGTTACTCTTAGATGATAACACCAAACGCATCAAATCAAGATAAAAGTTATTCAAACATCAGTTCTCAAAACATGTTTTTTGTTCTGTTTTTTCAGGAGATGTCCCTCGGGTTAACGGGCAGCTAGCGGTTTCTCGTGCGTTTGGGGACAAAAGCCTCAAAACACATCTACGGTCAGATCCAGACGTTAAAGATTCATCTATAGATGATCACACAGATGTTCTTGTTCTTGCTAGTGACGGTCTATGGAAGGTAAACAATGGTGTTGTTCTTGTGTTGTGAAAGAACTGGTTGGCGTTTTTGGATTAAACGGTTTTGATGTGTAAATGTGTAGGTGATGGCTAACCAAGAGGCGATTGATATCGCGAGAAGAATCAAAGATCCACTGAAAGCAGCGAAAGAACTAACAACCGAAGCGCTGAGAAGAGACAGTAAAGACGATATTTCTTGCATTGTCGTCAGATTAAGGTGATGAAAGATCTTTTGAAACCAAATAAATAAGTTTGACACTGAAGAGTAGAATATATTTTTACTTGTTTCTTTTTTACCTCCGGTGTAAAATGGTTGATTGGTAATGTTTGGCAATTTGATTGGTTTGATTTGTGGTCTGTGTAAGTGAGATTTGGTGTATAAAAACAACTTATCTTCTGCTTTGACATGAGAAGACTACTCTTAAGTGGATGGGGAGTGTATATAAAGCTTTGTGTGCTTCTTCTGATCTCTGTTTCAACAGTCCTCATTTTCTCTTTTGTCATTGAACTTTTTTAGTTTACTATATGTTTGTTTTTCCTTTTAATAAAATGCATACTGTACATATAGGTTTATACTCGCTCATATATTTTAAATTACTTTTTAATTCAAAAGAAAAATATTTAACAGAAATTACTTAATTAGTAAAACTGTTTTGCGATTCTCCATTGGTTATTTTTTTGAAAAAACATATTAGAATAATTTACATATTTTTAGAGCTATCAGACATTTACTAAAATGAAAAGACGTTCTAATTTTTTTTCTTATTATTCTTTTCCAACATCAGAGGCTGCTCTAATTTCACTACAAAAAACACGCCGGTTAACGTCGGTAAATTAACGTCAATTAGTAAACCGACTTAAAACTTTTAATTATGAAGGAATTTTGCGTCACTTAAAAGAAACCGACTTAAACTTCATAACATTTTTTGTGTCGTTTATCTAAAGCCGATTTCTTCCATTATCAGAAATTCAGAATTTTGTGAGCTTCCGATTACTTTTGATTTCTTCAATTTACGAGTTCTTCATCGAAGCTTCTCGTCGTTGTGGAGCTCCGATTTCTTTGATTTCGATCAATTTGGATTCAAGGTTCGATCTCTGAAACGGATCGCGACGGAACGAGCATCCTAGCTCATCGAATCCGCCATATCAGGTATCGATTTTAACTTGGAACATGACCGGAGATTTGCCGTTAGGTTATCGGAAATTGATTAAGACAAGGAGAATCGTGATAGTTAGATCGGAAAATTGAAATGTCAGTGTTTGAAGGCATCGATCCTTTTAGTTGATAGATTTTTCATACTTGGTCAATATGCGGAATAGGAGAAATTACGATTGGTTTCATTGAGTTTCGAAGTAGATGCTTTCAATTGGTACAAAGGAACTGGCCGGAGATGAATTCATGAATAGACTTGAGTTTAAGAGAATATTGGTTGCTCCATTTGCACACACAATGTCGGTTCAGAACAAGGAGTTGATTTAAGCCAAGACTGTATCGAGTCTTTGTGTTCCATAACTTCAAAAAGTTGAGAGTATATCTTTGAAGATCTTCAAGAAGTATCGTGGACTTGTTCCAATGAATCAATTACAGTCACAATCTGGCTTTATTTTGGTTGATATACTCTCTGGTTTTGGGTGATGTTTTGTTTGCTCATCAAGAAGAGCAACAACACGGTTTACATGTCACAGAGATAGATGGGTTGGCACATACTACAATAGGTGTGAATAACAAGAAATATTAAAATGTTCGATCAAGATACTGAGATATGAGTTTGAGATTGTTTATAAGTCTGAGAAAAAATTGCAGAATGTTTCAGAATTGAAAAAAATAGCAACTTTTTAGTCCTTATGTGTTTATCTTCTCAGCTCTATGGTAAAGGATGTTTCTTGATTATGGGGAGAAAGGAATGAGAGCTGTAATACTAACTCTTGATTATTGGTCTTCCCATGATTCTAGTTTTATAAACGAGCTCCACTTTATGTTATCTGAATCTGAAGTGTTTTAAGGTTTTTTGTTCTAATAAGCCCCCTTTTTCTCCACGAGACCCAATAGTACATGCATTTTTGTTTCTTAATGTTCTATTGAGCTAAAGTAACGCACGATATGTTTTGCTCAATGCAGAGGTCAGGTTACTTTCTGACTGGATAAGTGATAATAGTGGTAACTGGAGTCGAGAGCAGCTCCTTAAATCTTGAGTGTTAAGTTGATAGGTAACTATTCATGGCCTCAAAGTCTGGTTCTGAAGTTCTCCCATAAAATAATAAAGGAAAAGGGCGATAAGCAAAGCCTGGAAACATCGGTTTCCAACTCGAGTCAAAGTGTTCTCAGTCATTGGCAGATCAAGTATCTTCAACTTTGTCTTTTGCTCCAAGCAGCGACAGTAAAAACTGGAGGAGAAGTTAAATTTAGTGGAAAGTCTGATCTCACTGAGAGCGGGAAGAGTAACACATGTAGACCTAGTAGTGATATCAATGATGAGAGCATATGTAGCAGGTTTAGTAACAACAACAAGCCTCACAAGAGTTCAAGTGACATTTAATTATATTCTATGTAAAACAGATTTATTTAATTAATTGAACTTTTATTTGAGTTTCTTTTGAAATTTGAGTTATATTAACATATATAGAGACTATCAATTAGCATAAAAATGTTTTTTTAGCAAAAAAACAAAAAAGAAAAGCAATTAAAAATAATTATTAGCTTTATACGTCGGAACTAAACCGTTGTTAAGATTACTAAAACCGACGCAAACTTATCCGACGTATAAGTAAGTGTCACTTTTTAAATTGACGTTAATATAGTTAACGTCATGCAATGTTACGACAGTTTTAAAACCGACGTGATTATTTTAAAGTCAGTTTGAAAATGACGTTAAACTCAATAATGACCGACGTTAAATACCGTTTCTCTTGTAGTGTTATTTAGATGATAATTCAATTATATATATTTTTAGTTCAGTCAAACATAATAAGTTTTTTAAAAAATCATGAATAACAGTATTGTTGATTTATACTATACAAAAAAAAACCGTACTATTAATTTAAAAATCAAGCACATGAATCGAACAATGTTTCATAATCGAGCTTGTTTTTTTTTTTTTATCAATAATCGAGCTTGTTACATGTTGATTACTAATTAAGTCTTTCATTATCTCCGACAATTGTTCTATCCGTATTCTTTTATATTGTAATTTTCAAATTTGATTTTGCTTTGACATTTGGCTCTTCTGGAAAAATTTTCAATGATAAGTAGTACTCTGCATACAGTTTTTACTGTGAGTTTATTATATACTAGATTTTAACCCGCGGTACACCGCGGGGCTATATTTTATTATAAAAAAATTAAAATGTGATTTGTTTAATTGATTAACAGATTATATAACCTATTATTTTGTATTTTGTAAATGTAAAATCCTATATCTATATATTATTAAGTGTCAACTTACTCAGTTTGAGACTTACTGTTTTAATATATAAAAACAATAACATACAATGGGATATATTTTATCTCGTACCGTGGAGCTATATATTTTTTTAAAAATTGAAAATTTATTTTTTAAAAATTATCTATAGATATTACCTATTGTTTTGTTTAATTTAAATGTACATATATATGTATATATTATCTCGTGGTACACTTCGGGTCGATTTTTTAAAACTTAGATTTTAAAATTTAGGTTGTATTTTTTGTGTGAATGTTATTTGTTTTTTATTGCTTAAAATTATATAATTGTATTTGATTGTTAATTCTAGGATTTCACCCGTAGTATACCGTCCCGTATTAATCTCGACCCAAACATGTCTCTCATATAACCCTGTCCCGTAAAATTAAACATCATTTTGTTATATTTTTTAATAATATTGAAAATATTACCTATAACTGATTGAGAGTATAATTAGTATCTATTTGCTAGATATTCTGGATTTATGTTTTTTTTTTTTTATTCTAGATTTATGTTGTAAATAAGGATTATTAGTAAATTTATTATCTTTCTAAATGGAAACAAATTAGAGAATCTAAAAAACTATTTCCAACAAACGATTTTTAGGTGTTAAAGGCGAAATTAATTAATGTATCAACATTTAAAGCTAATGGCATTCTATAGTAAATAGTGGTGAAACCCATGATTTATTCAAAAATATCTTCGAAAATATAAATATAGATCTCTTTACATTAGATATATTAATATGCTAATTTTAAAATATATTAATTAGGATTTAATCCGTGGTATATTATAGACAATTTTGATTTCGCACAATCTTAATTAACTCAACATGATTTGATATGTCTAATATTGGTAGTGTTAACAAAATATTAAAATAGGGATTTAACCCGTGTTAATAATCTTTTAAATTTTTATTAATATTGAACCAATCATATAACTGATTTTGTGTTATTTTAAAATTTTAAAATGTTTAAATATCCATAAAATTTTAAACTTTTTCTTAAGTTTAAATATATCAATAATAATATTTGATCATTTTTGTTTGATAGAAGATTTAGACATTTTTAAATAGCTCCGAATTTTTCTCTAGTTTTAACTTTGATGTGAGTGGCTGTTTTTAATTGCATATATTGACATTTAACTTTCTCAAATAATTAACCAAAAAAAAAAAATCAAAACATAAGAAAAAAAGAAGCAAAAGTTAAGGAAAACATAAGCAAAAAATGTGAATTTTTTTGTGTGGGTCAAATCATGTTAACAATGATTTTTTGAACACACTAATTGTTATTTCGTATATTAATAATAAATTTTGTGTATTATTTTGGGAATATAGTATACTTTTGGATATATAAATAGCACATCACAAATTTATAAAACAAAAACTATAATAAACGTGTGGCACCAAAAGGTAAAGGTACACCAAGTCAACGAATTCAGCTTACGCCAGCTTTGGCTCGTCTCGGGTTCTTATAACATAGTGATATGGATACCATCGAAGCCGGATATCAGGTTAGTTTTTAATTAATCAAAATAATTATACTTTATAAAAGATATCTAGAAACTATTTGTTATGTAATTTTTATTTTTTATTAAAAGCTTTTGTAAGCAAAATGACTAAAACTATACATTTAGATTTTTTTGCAATTTAGATTATTCAGACTACCAAAAGAAATTCTTCATTTTTTGGACACGGTACGCTTGTAACTTTGTAGAGATGTTATAATCTTCGATGCCCTGGTTTTATACAAACCAGTGACAATATGCTCGCCACTGTGAGGGATGTTATAATCTCCGGTGCCCTGACCAGCAGCAGTATGCTTATCATCATGTCCCCCCTCCCCCCAAACCGAACTCACAATCCAAATTTTGAAGGTTAGAGTATTTCTTCTAATTAATTTCTTTTATTATGTAAACTATTTTCTAATGTTTACGTAAACACAAATGTAGGATTCAAAGCTCGAACATTGGTGGTTAGATGTCGGCCTGAACAATGGCACCACACTCGTACCAGTTGGTTATTGGCTGACCGAGATTTTCACTCGCCTCAATTGATAGACAACAAAGTTGAGATGTTTCAATATGAAGACGATAGGACGACACATAAGATTCATTTCAATGTCAAAAAAAAAAAAAAAAAAAACATAAATCCAAAAGAAAAAGAGAGTAACAAATGATAAATGAAGTGGTTTAAAGCAATCGCTCGCCAATTCAAAACCTTATCGCAAGAAGAGAAGTTTAAACCGTTCGGTGCCAAATAAGAGTGTATGGCTCCGCTTCTAACTTCTCCACTTCATTAGTTCTACAAAAGTTATGTCATGCATTAAATTTCATGAAGAAGTGAAAAAGAAGAAAGATATTAGGAAAGTGTTAAAAGCTTTTCTTTTAGATCTTGTTTACCTCGTCTTGTGGGTTATGGCCTTTAGATTGTTCACCTGCAAGACGAAAAAAAAGTATATAATAAAGCATTCATTTAATACAAGTACTATAAAGTTTTAAAGAGATGTTGTGTCTCGTGTATTGTTTAATTACTTACCTCCTTCCTCTAGATCAGAGGTCCATAAAGTGAGGTTATCTCTGAGAAGTTGCATGATAAGTGTGCTGTCCTTGTATGAATCTTCGTTAAGACTGTCAAGCTCAGCGATTGCTTCATCAAACGCTCGCTTTGCCAAATGACATGCTCTAAGGGATTCAATAAATTTTCAAAACATGTTTAGAACTTGGATGTAGTTTAGCCTGATAAGTTACTTGCTCTTAACGGGACAATACCGTTCTGGTGAATTCAAGATCTCGTAGTAGAATACAGAAAAGTTGAGAGCCAAGCCGAGTCTTATTGGATGTGTTGTAGATAATTCCGAGCTAGCTGAAGTCGTTGCAGCCTATATAAAAGAAAAAAAAAAAACAGAATTCTCGGCTTTCTTTTCTAGCAATTAGGCTAATTGATCAAGTGAGAAAATGCTAAACATACTTCATACGCCTTGAGTGATTGGTCCGCAGCTTCTTCGCGATCAGCACCGGACTTAAATTCAGCCAAGTATCTGAAATAATCTCCTTTCCTAACAACAACAAACAAAAAAATCAAAAAACCAATTCAAGTGTGTGTCATATACTCTCCTTGTTTAGATTTTACTTCAAGAATGAGACTAACATCTTGTAGTAGAAGACCGTGGATTCTCCCGAAGTTGCGGATGGAACAAGATGCTTATCGATGACAGCCAAAATATCGTAACAGATCTTGGAGAGTTCTTCTTCAACCTTTGTCCTGTAATCCTTAATCCTCTTTGCATTTTGTTCGTTTCCCCTCGATTCTTCTCTCTGCTCAATCGAAGAAAGGATCCTCCACGACGCTCTCCTAGCACCAATCACATTTTTGTAACCAACAGATAAAAGATTCCTCTCTTCAATTGTCAGTTCCACATCAAGAGCTGCAACTTTCTTCATTGCTTCAACCATCTCTATTAACAAGAACAACACCATAAATCAAAGTACTCAATCCAACGCCAAATCAAACAAAAGTAAATTGATTGAATTGAACTATATCATATAGCACAACAATCCCATTGTTCTAGTTACCAAACTATGAGGTATATCAGAAGTTTACATTTAAAACATTTTTCATCGCATAAACAATGATCGAATAAGATCCGATTTTACGAAAGGAAACAGAGAAAAACTATAAAAAAGAAGAACATCCAAATCCACACTGATCGAATTAGAAGATTCCACAAATTAACTCGTTCACAAACTTTTTATTTACTTGATTTCTAAGTAACCATAAAAATGTTTTACGATCATTACATTTTCAGACAAAAGTATGAAAGGACAGATCTAAGGAACAGAGTTTTAAGATTACTAAAGAAATTTCAAACATAAAAGAAACAAGTACGGTCTTTTGTTTACCATCGTATCTCTCAGCTTGCTCGTTGAGTTTGGCCAAGTACACTTGATTCTCTCTCTCCTTCTCCATAGCTTCTCTCTTCTCTTTTCTCTCTCGAATTGAGACTTTTGTTCTGATCAAAAACTGCTGTCACGATATAAAAAGAATTTTGGCGGTTTGGTTTAAGACAGGAGAAGTAAAATCAACGGCTGAGATTATGTCTCTAGATAGTGGAAAGCCTCAAATAGTGATAACAACGAATCTCAACCGTTGGATTTAGATGTTTGGTGTGCCCCATGCCTCTTTGTGTTTTCATTGGTTATAATAATTACTAGGGTTTTCAATCCATGTGATCTAAACCGAATTATTCAATCCAAAAATCGAACCATACTTTGAACCTTAAGCATTGATTTTTTACAAGAAAATTCACATATATATGTTAAAAAGTGTAATTAATGTTTAATTATCCTCTATATATTAATAGAGAAACATATTTAAAAAAAAACCTTACCATCATGTGTTATTAACAAGATTGCCACGCTGATGTGTCGCTCTCACAATGATTTGGCTTCTATTTAGATAATTACCCAAGATTTATTAGACTATTTACAGAATTTGCCATTAGTCTCATACATCCATATATCTCATTAATAATTAAAAGCATACACTTTTTGTTTATCTTATATTACTATATTTTTATATTTATATTTTTTTTATATACATTTATATAAATTTTCTTTAGCGGATGGGTAAACAATCTTTTTATTTATATTTATATTTATGTTTATATTTAAATGATAAAATATATACATTTGGTTCAAGAATCTCGAATTCAAAACTACAAAATCTTTACATCTTTCATAAATTTTTTACTTAAATAAATAAGATAATCTTCTTTCTATATATGTTACGAATACTTAAAATCCTATTTTTGGGAGGAATTCTAACTTTTCGAAGAAAAACATTATAACCACATTTGTATATAAACCAAAATATGGCCACATTATAACCATTTCGTAAATAATCCATTCATAATCTAAGAATCGTAGATTTGGAACACTATAAAATCTTAGCTTGGAAACTATCAAATCTCATCTTTGCTAAATTTTGGATTTCTTATACTTATTAAAAAAAAAAAATCTTTTTATACTACAAAATTTCGAAATCTTTAAAACATACGGAAAGACATATTGCCATAAATGGTAACATTTCGTCAATACTTTTTTTATCACGTTGAAGCTTTATTAAAGGTTCAAATATTTCACGGGTAAAACATATTCTTATATGAAATAGTCCCAAATTTGAATAAAACAAAAAAAATTTGTAACATGTTTCGTTTTACACAAACGGGTCTTGGATCCCGGATAATAATTTTAATCATAATAATTTTACTTGAATCGCTTCATCCCGCACATCGTGCGGGTTGTTATCTAGTGCATATATTATTTTCTACACAAAACACTTTTCCATAACCACTAACCAATAACAATTCACTACGTTTTTATATTTTCACTAAATATATTTTTGAAGTTTACAATTTTTAAAATATTAGTGAGTGCATCAAAAAGGTAAAACATTATGTTTTATGGACAAGAAAAATAACATTAACCTACAAGGATCGGATGAAGTATATATGAGAAACTAAATCCAAAATTTAAACCGAATTAAAGAAGAAAAGTCTGATATGAAACCAAAATTTCTTTGTAAATTAAAGATTTATAACATCGAAATCTAAATTGAAACCATAACCAAAACCATACCAAATTATTTATTTTAGTATGATATACCATTATTTCTAAATCAGAAATCTAAATAAAAAAAAACCGAACCAAATCTAAACCGAAATCCGGAGTAAACACTTATAAATATAAAAGTCGTGCGAATCATACTTTCTTAAAACCCTCTCTCTGTACCAGAGACTGTTTCGTTTCTCCCGCCAATCGATAATACCATAAATTAGGGTTCACGAAACTTCCGCTTTGCGTCTTCCCAATTTCTTCCAGGTAAAATCTCTCAAATTCATCGAAATTCATGTCTCTAATTTACGCTTAATTTAGCTAATTTGATTTCAGAATGGCTGACGAAGAAGACCCTCTCTCTCAATTTGATATATCCAAAGAGGTAACAGATTCAATTTTGGGAATTTTGATTTCGAAATATGTATATGATTTGGTCTTGAGATTGATTTTTGATGATTTGATTTTGAAAAAAATTCAGGAAACGGATAAGTTAGTTTCAGAGGTGATTAGATTCATACTATTCAAGTTTCACCAAAGCTCAGGAACTCCAATTAAAAGAGAAGATTTGACTCAGATTGTTACTAAGAACTATCGCCAGCGAAATCTCGCGACACACGTGATTAACGAAGCGAAGAAGAAGCTTTCTAATGTGTTTGGTTATGATTTGAAAGAGCTTCAACGTGCTCGGGCTTCTTCTAATGGTCAATCTAGGCTTCCTCAGTCACAGAGTAAGATTGGCATTGTCTTTTAATAAGCGGGACCGCGTCTCGGCGGATTAGCTAAATGTTTGTTTTCATTCATGTTAGGTTCTGTTGACTCGAAATCGTATGTGCTTGTTAGTGAATTGCCGTTGGAAGTGTTTAGGAAACACGTTGTGGATGAAACTACGAGTCCTATGACTGGCTTCACGTTTGTGGTTCTTGCCATTGTGCAGCTTGCAGGAGGTAAAATCCCTGAAGGTATGCATTACTCGATCTTTTACAACGATCTTTTTTTTTTGGTTTCGATGCAATGTTCTATGCTTTCGATCTGCCCTTGTCCTGCGTTGGTCTAATTTACGGAATTTAACGAGTTGCTGATTTAGTAAGTGCTTCTTCTAGAGTCTGTATTAAGAGATAAAGAGTTAGTTTTTGTTGTCGCAATTCTAGGAATCATAGTTAGAGAGCAAAGTCGTAGTGTTGAAGTCACAAGTACATTATATAGATTTGTTTAAGATCCTAAAATCTCTATGATGAATTAGTTTTGAGAATCAAATCAAGAGTATATGACACAGGCTTGATTTAAGAATTTGTTTGTTGACGTCTTTTCTCTTGCATCTATGTTTTCTCAACATCCTTAGAAACCCTTTGGCATCATTTGAAGCGAATGGGATTGCACGAAAGTGATGAGCATAATCCTGTGTTTGGGAACAACAAGCAGACCCTGGAGACATTAGTCCAACAAAGGTGAGACCCTGTGTGCATAACACTGTAAGGAATAAACGACAGAGGCGAAGATATTGGTTTTCATAGCTCTTCTCTAAATGTTTCATCCTTTTTTACAGGTACTTGCAGAAGGAGAAAGTAAGTGGCCCAGAGGGTAATACTCTGTTTTACGATCTTGCTGAGAGAGCGTTAGATCCACAAGTTAGCGAGAAAGTAAAAGATTACATTTCACAGGTACTACATGAAGAACATACATCTTCTTTGTTGATTTTAATCATCTCTTTCAGCTTTGGCTAAGATTTCGCATTACGTGGAATGCAGATCCTGAAGAATGATGTAGCAGTTGTAGAGCTTGATGATTAGGGGAAGATTTGGCCTTAGAGACTTACCAAACAGTTTGGTGCAAGTCTTTGACTCATGTAATTTGTAAGATTGCCTTGATTATTCAATGTGATATATGAAGGTTCTTGAAGAAACAAGTTAACAAAAAATATGAATTGACTTTATAATTTGGCCATCTGATGACATATACACTTCTACTACAAAATGTTCAGCTATGAATTAAGCCCTCTCCAAAGTTGTTGGTCTAGAGGAACTGCCGATTATACAGGAAAAAGGCAAAACTTTAACCTGAAAAGCTGTAACAGATGGATGATACAGCCAAAAACATTTTAGCTGACCACATTTACTAAATTTATAAGTTTAAAGTCACTGAGAAGATGAACTTCTTCTATTTGATGAGCTTGAATCCCCGATTGAGACAGTGGCCAAAGACTTAGAGGCCCATGCTCTGGCGTTCATTGCTCCTCCCTGCAAATTGCTTCTTCTGTGCATGCATAATTGTACAGCTCGGCTTAGAAACCCGACGGTATGTTCTAGCAGGCTTTCTAGTCTCATGTTCTGAGCAATCCGTCTCCAAGTGAATTTCATAAACACGACAAGTGTAGGGTATATCAAGTGAAGCAATCGTAACAGGACGAATACAATGGCAAGAGCCAGATAAGTCTCTTGTCGAAGCATATTCTCAGGTGATCTTGCCCATGTGAATGGGCAGTTTTCTGGCTCGGTGTTGTTTTGGTTCCCCAGATGAGGAACTGATACGCTTTTGTCAAGAGAAGTTTTATCCAACGTTTTGATACCTACAATCCCATAACATTCCTTGTTAGTTCCACTGGTTGAGCTATTCAAAAAGATCAAAAACAACTAATACCAGCACACATAACCAACTCTTTTGTAACTACTAATCGCCTAACCTCATTAGGAAAGACACTACTATCAACACCAGGGTAAACACAGAACCGAAGAGACTACATATATGAGAAGCTAACAAAACACCTTACCGGTAACATCACTGTAGAAAGCAACAAGAGAATCAAGCATTCTGGTTCCTCGGTATCGTGCCCGCATTGTCGAATTCAAAAGCAAAAGAGTGGGAAACCCATGAACTCCATACTTAGAAAGGGTACTGCACCCCAACAACAAGTAATCAAAAAATCATCACAACAGAAAACATAATCAACAAGATTAAAGATTACGACGCTTTATTTATCAACTCACCTCGGCTTAACGGATGATTCCTTAATCGCAAAATGAGGAATCGAGGAATAGAGAGAGGCGATAACATCGAAACTCGGCCTAAACGACCTTGAAAATGGACACCAAGATGCATAGAAAAGCAAAGCCACATAATCACACTTGTCCTTATGAATCATATCTAAAGCCATTTGCAACCAACGCTCATCACCCTTCACAATAAACATCACCAAACCAAAAACAATTCAAATTCATAAGAAACAAAAGACAGATTCTTTCGATATCGAATCAAGCAGAAACCCTAGAAATTGAAATCTGAGCTCTAATTTCAATTTACCTCGGTGACAGCACCAAAATGAGGACGCTTGTCTGATTCAACACCAGAAACAGAACAAGTCTGATCTCGAAACCCAAAGATGGAATCTTTAACAGACTTCGTAGCACAAAACGGAACCCTCGTAGACCTCGTTAGATTCAAAAACACCATCATGACCAATAGCAACAACAAGATCCTCTTCTCCATTAAAAGATACCCAGAAGCTCTATCTCTATCTCTCTCCACGAAATTCACAGAACCCAGAATAGAAATGCTGCAGATTTGTTGTTGCCGACAAATTAGAAACAGATGAGAGGTTGATGTTTCTGGGAATTGAATCAATGGCGTTTTTAATTGGAGAGATTTTTGTGCAGCGTTAATGGATTTTGTGATTTGAGGGAGTTATTGAAGGATATCAATGAGGAGGAGAAGAAGCGGTTGTGGTTGCTGCTTGGTACTGGGTATTGCTCGTAGGAGGAACAAAGCAATTTTTTTTTTTTCCCCTTACAATATCGTGATAAAAAATAGAAAAAAATATATATAAAAAATCCAATTTTAAACCGGATTTTTGTTTAGTAAAAATAATAATTGTTTTAAGAATATAATTTTGATTTTCGATTTCGGTTAAGGACTTGAGGAGGGTTTTTTTTTTCTTTTTAATTTATTTAATATATGAAAAGTTAAAATAGTCAACCACATTCCACATTAGATATTTGTTGACCAGAAAAAAAAAAACCACATTAGTTATTTCATCATGTGGGAAGTAAGAGTATTGATACAACATTAGTATAGCTTAAGGAAATGATCATCCCCGCTTAGTAAGGACAATTAGATATTGAGTTTATTGTTTTTTTTTATTGGTCATCTAGCTATTGCTCTGAGGTAGATAGATTTACTCTCCAAAAGCTTGATAAATCTTTTGAGTTCATTTCGATGAGCAAAACGTCATAACATGTGGACGTAGTTGTGAACACATCAAATTTGAGTTGTTTATACATATTTAACTTTTTAATTATCTACGAAAGTTGGATAAGTTAAGTTGTTTGGATATATTAATTAGCACTGTCAAAATAAGTTAATTATTAATTAATTATTCGAATTCTAAAATTTACTTGTGCACAGATTGATCGATCCCTACAAAGAATCATCGATCCTCACATAGATCGATCAATCCCCTCTGTTTCCTAAATTTGATTTGTTAAGTTGAATCAATACATGAACTCGAGGATTTGCATGTTGTCTAACACCTTTTTTATTGATATTTACATAGGCTGTGACTGGTTAACTTTAGTAGAAGAAGATAAAATGGAAGAAATCAAATTCTTTTTAAAGTGTACCAGTAAAAAATAAAGTGGAAGGAAATTATTTCTTCTGAAAAGATCAAAAAATAACTAAATCTGATGAATTCTTCCATCTTCACAGAATACATTTTTCCTCTTGATGTGACTATTCTTTTCTTCTATTTTTTCTTCCCATTATTCTATTTCTTAAACCAGTCACACCCATAGTTTTTTCATACTTTTTTTTTTTTATCTATCTTTGTTATTCTAAAACCCTCAATTATTTTGTTTTAACTTTATTCTCTTGTAGAGAAATTAGTATTGTAACTTTCTAGTATTTGTTGGATCTATCTTTTAAGTAGTACGGTTGATTTGATGTGCATTTGCAGCTAAATATTTGTGTTTAATTGAGGTTAAACCCGACACACATCACTTGTTTCCTTAGTTATTGTGGTTTGATGATAACTATGTTATTTTATGGGCCTCATACTTTATTCATTCTCTTTAATTGCCAAATGAGCTTTCAACTTTCTTAGTTAAAGTTTGGGTTCGTTTTGTGTTCTTAACTAGAATATGCTTATTGTGAAAGCTATGATAAGCTTTCTTGCTCCACTTAATTTAATGCAAAACGAATATTAGAAGAAGAAAAAAAGTTGAGCTCAAGGTTAATTCTTTTTTTTTGTTTGGTTAAGAAGTTCATTTCAAAATTCTCAGTAGTAGTTTTGGTTAGTTTTTTTTTCTTTAACATTATATGTTGATATAGAAATATAAGCTAAAAGAAATATTTTCTCCATTTTGTTAACATCTTAGAAGATCTATGCAATTGCTAAAGTTAGAGTTGATCAAAAACATAAAACGAAAAAGTTTCTATCAACAAAACAAAGAAACCACAAAGAGGAAATTAAAAAAAAGTCTGAAAAAAATAGAAAAGAAAGACGCTAACTGTTGTGGATATCGAATCCGACACTTCGAATTTGTAATAAAATGTGGGACAAAAATCAAGAACAAAAGTACCAAAGTATTTGTGATTTAGTTTAGCTTTTATGTAATAGAAAATAATAGAGAAAAATGTATTATTGCCTTGTATTCAGAGAAAATCCGTCGTTTTCTTAAGTTTTGAGACTCTATATTTATATAACATATTAAAAACAAAAATGACTAATAAATACAATTATTCTTCATAAATGTGTCCGTTTTGATTAGGTAATAAATGTTGCAATGTTTGAATTCGAATTCTCCTTGGGTTTCTTCCTTCAGGACTCGTAATAGACATGGCTGGTTTCTCATAGATCTTTGGCTCTCTGCGAGCTCCTGATCAGAATCTTCGAGCTCTCCCACCTGGTGACTCGGATTGTGGTTGTGGACAGTCATATTATGACGTGGAGATGATGTGGATTTCTCCCCGTGGATTCCCGACTCTCAGTTCGGGATCTTGTACCAATAACTGCGGCCAAGAAGATGACAAAAAAAAAAAAAAAAAAAACTGCGGCCAAGAAAGTGAGGGTTTTGAGAGCTCTCTCAATCTCTCCTTTTAGAGAAGTGGTTTTAATTCTATTTTCCCCTTCCTTTTTTTATATATCTTCATATCCACAACTAATGAATGATTAACACTTTCCTTTTAATTTGGCTAGTTCACATTCAAAAGTTGATTTTTATTCAACTTCGTCCTTTTCCTTTCTTAGATTATTGGGAAGTGGTGGGAATCCTTACATCTTTCATCTAGAAATGGTATGGTAAGATGTTTAGGCAAATCATTCAACAAGTTATGAGCTACTAAATTAAATTAAGAACTACTTGAAAAATAATGAACCCAACTCTAGAACAACCCTTTTAAATATTTCTTAAAGGGTTTGAAACTTTGAAAATATTATGTGTTTAGGAAAAGTATTTGAAAAACATGAACCTCGATTTTGTCCATAAAATTTGAACTACTGAAACATGCTCCACTACACCATGCCTGGAAACAAAAAATGTAAATGTAACATCCTCTTACTTGTTGTTGAGATGAGATTAAAAATCATAACAACGCTACTCTTTCGCAGCAAACGCATAATTAAAATCTTGAACTCACAGTTACCATCTTAGTAAACTCTTTCACGTATTTTATTCCGTCACACCAGTATCCAACAAACTTAGGATTCTTTGCTACACTCAAAATTTTATTACATACTATAGTTCAAATAAACTTAACATAAGTTTAAAATTAACTCTCTTTCGAAACTTTACTAACCAAGTTTTAAATTACTTTTAACCTAAACATTATAGATTATTAAAACAAAATTGACATATCTGAAAGCTTGAACTGATCTCATCCAACACAATGGCTTCGACATGCATAGTGTCAAGTGTGGAGTAAAGAAAATACAAATCTACGTACGACCTCACGTATTTTATAGCCTTGTCAAATTTGATATATGATCGATAATAATAATAACAACTCCAAGCAGCAAGTACGTAAGATTTTTACGTCGGTAATCTTGTACTTATATATAAATGTAGACAATTTGATGTCACACATATATTGCTCCCATTGTTTTTACAAAATATGTTGTTATTTCAAATGCGGTTATAATCGTGTCTCATTGACTCAACTACTTTAGCAGAGGCCTCCTCAGTCTCACTAATTGTGCAAGGGTCTATAGAGAGAATAGAGACTTGGGTCAGTTAGTTTGATATATCATTTAACTTGGTAACTTGATAGGTCTATTGACTATACAAAATTTGAAGACTTGAAATTCCATATACTTGAGTATGATGGCTTGGAAAGTATTAAATTTTTTAATTTTGTACGACTTGAATATTACTAGAATTTATCATGTCCTTTGACTTTGTTAATTTTGCATAGATTTTGTTTTTGTAATTTGTAAAATCCATTAATTCAAATAATATGGTAGCTTTATTGATTATATACTTCTCTGACTGGTTACATAACTAGAAGAAAAAAGTGGAGGAAGTGAGAAGATGTTTTTTCATGTAATATTATGTAGAAAAAAGATTTCTTCTAAAACAAAAAACAATTCTTTGATAACAATAAAAATAATGTGGGCCTAGAAAAATTTAGAAGAAAAACTTTTATTCTACAAAATTTACCAGTCAGAGACTATTAACCCTATTTTTTATTATTTATTATTGACCTTATTAGTTTTGCATAAATTTTAACTTGGCAAGTCTACTGATTTTGTAATCGTTGATTCTGCTAATTAATTTCACATATTCCCTCATACGCTCAAAATATGTTATATTTATGCAAATATCTAAGAATTTATAATTTTATATATCATGAATCGCGACATCAACAAAACGAGTTTTAATATGAAATAACGCTTATTAATTAGAGTTTGAACCTACAGAGATTTGACTCGATGAAATTTGAAAACTTTATTTACTCTACTAATTTGGTAAATCCATTTGTTATGTTATTTTGTAGGATTTGAATTTGCTAATTATATTTAAACTTTAATTTGGCAAATCCGCTGATTTTGGAATCCAGTTTCACAATCTCTCTCGTGATCTAACAATGGGTTATATATAAGGGTCCTAGTTTTCCAGTTACCCGAAAAAATTCTAATTTTACGTAGTAGTAATCACGGTATCAACAAAACAAGTTCCCTTTAATTTACCCAATACAAAAGTAATTAATTAATGAGAACTTGTATAATATTTTCAAAATTTTTGACCGATAATATTAATTCATTTATCAGCAACTAAAGAGTCATTTGAATTAGTTTAATTTGTATATTAAAATTATTATGAATGAACTAAAATTTTTTTGAATATGTTATCATAAAATTCATCTGTAAGAATTACTACTAAACAGTTAAATTAATTGGCTATATATAGTACATTAGCCACTTACACCGGAGTTGCTTTAGATCATTTTTCGTAGTTCCTTATCTTGAATCAAACACTACAAGAAAAACTTCTATGTATAGAAACTAAAAAAAAGTTTGGATCCACTAGATTATACGAGTAAATCAATTAGAAAATCAAAATTTTATTATACATTGAAGTTAAATATTTGAATAAAGAAAACATGTGGAAGCCCCCTTGGCCCATTGGTTGACCAAGGGTTAATTAATGCTTCTACACCAAGAGGTCTGGGGTTCGAGTCTTAGATATTGCGATTTATTAATAAATTTGCAGATTAAAAGAGGCAAGTGTGCAGGAGATCTCCAGCGATGTACAATTATAGCCGTTCGCCAGGATTCTACGCAGAGAGAAAATGTCGTCAGGTCGTGGATCATTGAAGGTGTCCGTCAAGAGCATGGAGAAGGAAGTGTCGTCTGTCGTGGATCTAATAAGGGTCGGAAGGAATTGTCCGTTGTAGAATCGTCTATGTAACAGTTCTCATAATTTGCAATAAATAATAAATCTAGACGTCAAAAAAGAATAAAGAAAACCTAATTAATCAACATGTTCGTAATAGTAGCTACTAGCTAGCCATAGTTTATCAGCTAAATAGCGCACACAAAAGAAAATATTTCTAATTTGACATTCTTATATGATAGTTTTTAAAAAGATTATAATTCTAGTTTCAATAAAAATAAGTAAAAGAAATGTATTCCTCACACATATGAATATTGAATTGTGGAGACCCGATCTTATATTTGACTAGCAGAGTTCAAAGATAAGTACTAAGTTAATAACCTTGCAATATTACTTTGCAAAGCAATTCATTTAGCGAAACGTGTACATGTTCTATAAAACCAAATTAATATCTAAATCTTGAATTGTAGCCTATTATTTAATTAAAAATTTTCTCTTATTGGTATGTCAAATCTAGTGTTTACAAAACTAGAGGTGTTGACCGTTAGAGAGAATTAAACAACTTACATACATACAAAACATAAGCCAAAAAAATAATAATAATGCATCTTCCAAACTAATAATCAAATAAATTCAACATTAGCATTCATTTCATTACCCAAATCCGAAATTCCATTGATTAAAATTAATACAATTGTATGGTAGAAAAGCTAAAAGCTTACGTAAATGCCAAAGATAGTCAAAACCCTGCAATGACAAAGTTACCAAATCTTGAAGAGTTTGGTCCACAAAATTTAAGGTTATTGGCTTCCCACTCTATTTATAGGCAAAGAGATGAGACAGAGAAGATTAAATTACTTCTTAACAAAGGTTGTTTTCACTCAACCACATGCATTCTCAAGTGTCTGCTCCTCACATTCCCCAAGATTCCCATTTACTCACTTCTCTATTTGGTACGTAAAGTCACAAATATGATTCTAAATTATGTTATTCATTATTCGTTTTGTTCACACTTGCTTTCAACTTCCGTAAACCTATATAGATCATCCAATATTATTCAGTAAATTCGATATATATCAATCTTTATTCTCGCAGTTTAAAGGAGACGATTGATACGTGGGATCTACTTACGTATCTGCATGATTATTAGTTATAAAAGTTATTGAAAACATTAAATTTCTTTCATAGAGAGCAATCATTATATAAAGCTAACTTCATTATTTTATATATAGTCGAGCTTAAGAAAAAAAAAAATGAATTCCCTAAACAAACATTCCCAAATTTTTTCATCACTCTCCAACCACTATTCACCACATTCAATGGAGTCACCACTATACGAGATATCCTCAAGCTCTTCTTCTGAAAAACCTAGACACCATTTTCAATCCCTTGATCTCTTCCCTAACCTCAACCAAAACTCTTGTAACAACAAAACCCTAATTGAGCCTTTACCGCTTATTGATCGCATAAACTTGAACTCAAACCCTAAGCCCTTGTATGCGGAAGAAGGAGAGCAAGAGGAGGAAGAAGAAGAAGAAGACGGTGAAGTGGACGTGAACTTACACATCGGCCTTCCTGGTTTTGGTAAATCAAGCGATGGTGCTAAAGAGCTGAAGAAGAAAAATGGGAAGGAGATCGCCACATATGACGCCGGAAAAGACATTGAGAATGAAGTTTCCGGCAAGGCATACTGGATCCCGGCGCCGGAGCAAATTCTCATAGGCTTCACTCATTTTTCTTGCCATGTGTGCTTCAAGACATTCAATCGTTACAATAATCTTCAGGTACGAGTCATTAATATATCTCATGCGCATTTGTTAATTATCCATGCATAACAAAGTATAGTAAATTCATATTCAACTTATATAGTTATATCGGCATCTAATATTATGAGATTATTCGTATAAATAATTATGAATTTATTTGCAAAATGCTAAACCACCAGGATTTATATAGATGAAATTCCTTCTGGATCTTGTTATACAATTTATAATTTTAATCAAGTCAATTAATTATAATTTAGTAACTCTTATTTTTTTGTAAAATATTTGGTAATACATATTTTTATGGTAATATTTTCATGAAAATATTTCATCAAAGCTTTTTACGTTTATTGAATGTATTAATTAAATTTGAATATTAAAAACTTGAAATTAAATTATTTACTCAAATTTGATTGACTATAGCTTTTTTTTTAGTTTTCTCATATATTTTTTTAGTTTTATAGTAGTCAAAGAATTTCACTCAAACTTAAATACACAGATTTCTTGAATGAAACACTGGCCGGTCAATAATATGATTTAATGAATCATGTTATTTCTTTTTATTACTTATGCAAATCTTGTTTTTTTTTTGACTCCTAAATAATATTGACTATAATTTTTAATAGGTTTCTCACATATTTATATTCAATGTTAGTTGAATAGTAGTCAAAATTTTCTTCAAACTAAAATACAATTTATAAATGAAACACTATATATGCTCCATCAATAATATGATTTTGAACCATGTTGTTTCATTTTATTACTTATGCAAACCTTGTTTCTTTGTTTTTTGTTGACTCCTAACTAATATGAATGAACGTAGATGCACATGTGGGGACATGGTTCACAATACAGAAAAGGACCAGAGTCACTGAAAGGCACGCAGCCACGAGCCATGTTAGGGATCCCTTGTTACTGCTGCGTCGAAGGGTGTAGGAACCACATTGACCATCCTCGTTCCAAGCCACTCAAAGACTTTAGAACGCTCCAAACGCACTACAAACGCAAACACGGCCACAAACCCTTCTCTTGTCGCATTTGCGGTAAGCTTTTGGCTGTCAAGGGCGATTGGCGAACACATGAGAAGAACTGTGGGAAACGTTGGGTTTGCGTTTGCGGTTCTGATTTTAAACACAAACGATCCCTTAAGGACCATGTTAAGGCTTTTGGGCCTGGTCATGGACCTTATCCGACTGGTTTGTTTGAAGAGCAGGCTTCTAATTCATCTGTCTCCGAGACTTTGTTCTTTTAAATTTGGGCATCTTTTTTCTCTTTTTTTATTTTATTTTATTTGCTTATGGACTATTTATTTACTTAAGAATAATAATATGTGGTACCTAATTGTTTCGAATTAGGAATACGAAGTGTACCATTATATGTTTCAAATCTCTATATTAATTAATAACAGAAAAGTATAAATGATAAAATGGCCTTCATATTTTACTTGATTCATTATAATTTTCTTTAAAATATTTAACATTTGTATTATTTAATTTATAGTAATTATTTTACATAATGTTTTAGTTAAAATATTTGTGTTGAACGTCCCACATCATCCAGATTTGAATCAAGATCTGGAGCTTCAAATATTTGATGTAACTAAAGTTTAATACTTTTTATGTAATTTATTGTAGGAAATATAATTAATTAAATAAACAATAACTAAATTATGGTTACTTAATATATATTTTTATTCGAATATATCAATATGCTAATTTACATATTATTATACACCAAATTAACCAAAACTAAAACTGATACCAACCTGGATTTAACACTCCTATGAAATTGTTATAATTTTGCCAATAGCTTTAAGAATACACACATAACAACATTTATTTTTTCAACCAAATTTTGTCCTAAGATGTAAATTAATTAGGCTTGTCCATTTCTGATATCAGGATCGGAGAGGAAATAGCAGATATGTGACGAGAATGAAATATTTGGCTGGTAAGAAATAGTACACAAACTATTATCGATAAAATACGAGACAAATGTTGTTGTGTTTTTCTCAGTTTTTTTTTCCATGTTTTGTTGTGTTTATAACAATTTCTTGGTTTTCTTTAAGGCATAAGTGATAAAGCATATTATTGTTTTGTTCTGATTGTGATATGAAACTATAGTTCTTCTTGGAATCTTGGTACTTCTACTATTGTTTGGAAAACAAAGAAGCACCAACAAGATGTATTATTCTTTCGCCGAAACTTACTACTGTTCCATGTCAAATGTAATTCATGAACTAAATGACACAAATATTGCTTTTAGCATTCGATATTTCTCACGATGATCCTATAACTCTATTTTGTGATAGCAAATCAGTTTAGCATATTACAATTAATCCAGCTTTTAACGAACACACGAACCATAATAAAATTAATATTTGTCTTTCGGTTCGCAATAACTCGCACATATCCTCATGAAAGCATTGGGTTGCTCCTCTTGTGAGAATCTTTTGTCCATGTTGGACATTTTTAATTTGTATGCTCGAACATGAAAGAAAATATTAGGAGTATCCTAGTAAAGAAGATATTGTACTTATCTAAATAGGAAAATTAGCATATTCTATTAGGTTAACCTAGTTTAATTTTTTGCATAAATACATTTATGTATCATTAATAAGATTCAAACTTCCAATTCATAATATTGACACTTGTAAACAGAAAATCTAGAAATTGATTTTAAATTAGTCAGCTCATATTATAAATATATATAGGAAAATCAGTTATTAAAAGTTAGAGATTGGTTTAGTCTAAAGTATTAACAAGATAGATAAAGGTTTGTAAATTTATACAACTCTATACAATTAATTAAGGAAAATTTTTTAAGAGAACAACTTTTAATTCGTAAAATATTACAAAATTGTTTTTACGAATCTTTATCTCAAATACTACACAACTTCTAAGATATTAACTGTTGATCCACATTAAATCTCTAACTGTTCTTGACTATTCTATTTTGATCAATACTCAAGTCAACATTCTTGATTATTCTATTTTGATCAAAATATGTTTTACGTTACACATATATAAAATAAATGGGATTATAATCTTTTTATTCATTAGGTATATATTCCATACCTTCTCTGGGCGATGAAGTGTATGATTGGTGCAGATAATCAAGAGGTAGCGTTCTTTACAGACTGTTCAGACCTGGTGAAGATGGTGTCTTCTCCAACCGAATGGCCGGCGTTTTCAGTGTATTTGGAGGAATTTCAGAGCGACAAGGAGGAGTTTACATCTTTTTCTTTATCTTTAATTTCTCGTAGGGCTAATGTTAAGACGGATAATCTGGCACGAAAAGTTCGTACAGAACCGCTTCATATCACTTATGTAAACAACATTCTTCAGGAATGGCTCTTTTGAGCTCTAATTAATTTCGGATGACAAAAAAAAAAAAGCTATATATTCCATACACACAAGATATGAACATTTAAAACAAAGATGGTGGTCTAACTTTTATTTTTTTGCGTAATGAAATATCTTTCCACTTATACTCTAATTTGGGAATTTGTTTACCATGTGTGAAGTAAATCCCATCTTCTCTAGCATCCCAAAAATTCATCTTACCATGATGAACTATGAGACCACCACTTTTATATGCCCTGAACTTTGCAAAAAAATTGTAATTGATTCCCTGCCATAGTTGGTTTTGAAAATACTGTCATTAAATTTAATATTGTATGTTTGTCCAGGGTTCAAAAAGTGGATGCCGAGGTCATCTTCGTCTGATAGACAATGAATCTTTAGAATATTTTTTGGGAGAAGAGAGTTCTTGAAATGTACGGAATTTTTCATTTTCGCATTACTAAATCCTATACATATTGCAATAACAACCATGACACACGAGAGGCGATTCATTCTTATGATTGATTGATACGTTATTTATTTTTAGGGGTAATATGTATAAAAAATTATAGTTCCGATTTATATAAAGATACCAAATTATAATATATATATATATATATATTATGAAATATAAAGGTAAATTTGTTGTTGCAAAAGTTAAGAAAATCATTTGGAAATGTATTAAATTAGAGAGTAATGGTAAAAGAGTGTTGGTCAAAGTAATTGTTTTTCAATTACATAGTAGTTAAAAATTGATTCCTCCATTGGTTACTCAATCTACGTCAAAAATGTTTACAAAAGTAATATCCAAAAATCTGGTCAAAGTAACATCTTCCTTGGATCTTTTGACCATTTAATTTACTTTTATACTATATATTTTTTTTTTTTTACTTTAGACAGCAAATTAAGTCGGATAGATCATGTATAGCTCCAAAAAAAACAGTTTGAGCTTTTAGGCCTCAACTTCTTCGGCTGAACCCTCAGGTCGTTTTTCAGGGAGATATCATATGGGTTAAAATTTTGTAGTGTTTATTAGTTTATTGAATACTAGTGTAGTGGCCCGTGCGTTGCACGGCCTTAATATAAAATAGTAATTATTTTAACAGTTTGGAAAAGATTCAAAAGAATATCAACTTTTGTAAATATAGAGAATTTACCGAAAATGACTTTATCCATATTTTGTGAATATTACTACGTACATGGTAATGTATTGATTGTTGATGTACGTAATAGTACTACGTCCATGGCATTTACATAAATTGATACGTATTTAAAGTCATTTTTCAACACTTTATCCATATTTACATATAATGTCTGTAAATTAGGAAAATTACATAAATGACTTATAGATAAATAGGAAAAATATTAGTGGTGGAGATAAAGTACCAATGAATATAGTAGTATTACCATTTCCTCTTGCTAATATCTCATGATAAGGACAGAAATCGAAACACTTCTAGATTAGGAATCTGCTCACTTGGTTTAACAAGTGTGTTGAATATGAAATTGATCTTGTAAGGATGGTCACAACTCCAAAACTTTCCAAGATCATGGGCATAATTCAAAGTTCATAAGAACACAACATTCCCCTTCTTTTAAGTCCTTCTGGAATTTTGAGAGTAATTTTCCTTTTACAGAAGCTTGTATTCTAGTTCCCTGTTTCAAATTCAAACGCAAAACTTGTCACATAGAGTTGTTAATAAAATTAAGTGATCGTTTGTGATGACAACATGGAAATGATGTAAATTTAGAATACCTTTTCATCCAGAAGGAGAAGATCAATTCAAAAATTAAGAAGAATAAGAACAAATTGTTGTTACCTTTGATACAAATCAAACGACAGAGGCTGTGAGAGAGAGAGAGACAATAGAGATTTAAGAAATCTCAGTTAAGAAGAAGTTTCTAAAAGAAAGCCCAAAAAAAAATTCTGGTTTTTGATCTCAGAAATCGTGGATGAAGGGTGAGAATTGATCTGAAAGGGCCATGTCGTTGTTATATTGTTGAGAAGTGGAGATTGATTTTGAGATCGTGGGAGAAGAAGGGATTGCTGTTGTATCCAAAAGAAAAAAGTTTTCTCGACATTTTTTAAAAATTTAATTGTTTAAAAAGCTGAAAGATAAAGGATTTGGACTTAAGCCACGTGTCATATGGAGAATGTTGCAGTTACTTGAAAATCTACTTGTGATTTATTAAGTGATCGTTTGTGATTTATTAGTTTTGCAGTTACTCAATCTACGTCAAAAATGTTTACAAAAGTAATATCCAAAAATCTGGTCAAAGTAACATCTTCCTTGGATCTTTTGACCATTTAATTTACTTTTATACTATATTTTTTTTTTTTTACTTTAGACAGCAAATTAAGTCGGATAGATCATGTATAGCTCCAAAAAAAACAGTTTGAGCTTTTAGGCCTCAACTTCTTCGGCTGAACCCTCAGGTTGTTTTTCAGGGAGATATCATATCTATATATACATTTTTGGTGAAGATTTGGCCTCAAAAATCCTTTTACAATTTCAATATTGTACATTTAGTCCCTAAAAATAAAATCTGGAAAAATATATGTCTTAATCAAATTTACAAATCAATAAACAAACTCTTAAAACATTTCCTATTTTTATGGTTACGAGATATCAAATCCTAACATATAGAAGTCAAATATTCGAAATTAAAACTCTTTATCACAATAATCTCGGGTATATCTACGAAATTTAAACAACTAACCAAAAACTAATCTTAATCAAACCTTAATTACCATTTTTTTATAATCAAACCTTAATTATCAAAATATGAAAATCTTAACAAAATAAATTCTCCAAAAGTAAACGTACCCACAATTTTCGGTGCTGGGTAAGTTAATAAACGAATTAAATCAATTAGTTTCCATAAATATCGAAGCAAATCTTTCCAAACAACCGAATAATTAATGTGATTACGGTTACTTATTCACACATAATCCTTTCCGTGATTTTTTTTCACACAAAATATTGACTACAACGATTTTATAGAAAATATTAATTACAGATATATTCTTCATAGTAGTATATTCCAAAAAAAATCCGATTCAATATTTTTTGTTCCATTTTATTAAG